GCTTTCACCAAGACTACCTTCCACTTTCTCAAGAATCCCCTCATTATTAGCCTAATCAAATCCAGTTTAGATATGTGTCCAAATATCCTCCCTCCTCACCCCCTCTCCTAAGAAGAAACCTGCCCTCTGTATATTCCCTGATCCTGACAACTACCTGTGTCCTCATCTATTGCTTTTCAGTAGATACTACGCTAGTTGAAGTGCCTTGTAGGGGTGAGGCTGGCTCTTGAACATACCTGTCAGTTGCTCAAGCAAAGAGCATCACATATATCTTCTTTCTCATAATTTAATTTTCTCTGAAAGACCTCCAACAAGACATCCATCTTGTTCTTCTCTTTGCTCATTTCCACCCAAAAGCAGTCAAGAAGCCAGCTTCTTATCTCTCTCTGAAGTGGATAGTAAGTGTACATGTCTAAAGGCCTTGTCCTGGCTATGCTGGAAAAAGGCTGTAACTGCTTCCCCATTCCAGTTCCCTGGTATGTTCCATCAGGACTTCACGGCACCTATTACGTCATGGGTTTGTGCATATGAAGACTTTGAGTTTTCCTGTTTATTCAACATATTACTTAAATTTGCACATAGCTACTCTGGATATTCAACTGTTTGCCCTATTATTCTCTCTCTGGTCTTTCCTGTGCTTTTTGCTAACAGTTTCCCTATGGAGATGGTTAACAAAGTACTAATTACTGCCAAGCAAAGGGTATAGTGGTGGCTTTGTGATGTAGATACTGGTCAGCCAGGAACTTCACTGAGACTCCAAATTTACTGTAATTCCCATCTATCTCTGGACAGACTCCAGATAGTAACAGCTTTCAGTCTCTGCCAACCTGGTTTGGAGCAGTTTGCCAGTGTGTGATTTTGCATGTCTGTCAGCCAAATAAGGGAGCCAGTGCAAAAATCTAGTACTTAGAGGGTGTTTGATACCTATGGGAGCTGTCTGTGTCAGGAAACCAGTGACTAGTTTATAGCAGATTGGAAAAAAAAAAAAAGGTGTAGAAATAATATGGCCAGCATTTTAGTTACAAGCACAATGGCAATTAAGTGCAAATTACCAGTGTAAACCAGAAAGACATTTTTGTGCAAGGGATCCCTGACAGTCTTAATAAAGATTAAAGCTGAGCTGGAATTGTTCATACAAAACATGAGAAGGAGCTGCAGCCTCTCTTCACATGTGACATGGTTCTCAATGAAGTGCTACACTGCTGGTTGGACAGAGCAGGCAATGTCCAGCCTAGGTGGGAAATCACAGCTGGAGAAGCTGCCATTGAGATGTCTTTCACTTCCCTCAGGTGTAAGTCTTCCACCAGAAAGTAACACCAAATGCAGTGAAACACTGATGACCCGTTACAGAGCATTAACAACAGATCCCTTAGATCCCTGCCCTTGTACACATTTGTATATACACACAGCCTTTCTTTGTGTACCCTAGACAGACTACTAGTGTATAATGAAGACACGACAATAATAACATACTTCATTCACTGTAAGGAAGAGGATAAAAGCTCATCAGAAACACTGTCAGTTGTTACAAATGATAAATGGGTGACAAAACTGAAAATCATATTTGCGTGAGTTACTTTCTAACTGGATTTTATATGTGTACCAGCTTCTCTATTCCTGATTATTGGGCATGTTTGTGTATTTTCAGATAAAGACATATTTGTGCTCACCTATTGCTTTATAGATGCTGCAAAAAGATGAGTAGGAAGCCCATCCTGGATCAGACAGCTAGAACATTCTGAACTGCGTGTTCAGAAGACAAATGAGTGAGAAGTCCTGTTTGTTTTCATTTAACACAGCAGGTCAGTCATAATCACACACGAAATACCACGACCAGTGATAATCCTAATTTACCAAGTCTAAGAGAAAAGCCCGTGTAAGCACTCTCTGTTCAACAACCCCCTCCCAGTAAATTCACCTTCTAAAAATCTCAAATCTATAAAAAAACCTTGAAAAAAGCTTGGAATCATTGGGATCTTTGCATCAAAGCAAAGCAGTAGCCATGAGCCCTTTACTGAGAGCAACCTGTCCTAAGCCCTTAGCTAGGCTTATCCAGAAGGCATTAGCTTCTGAATCCCAGCTTATCTCAGCTCTTGGGTAAAAGCACAGGGACTAGCTTTGAGATACCTGTGGCAAGGCCAAAATCATAAAATACCTCACATCCAAGCCTTGAACTGCACCTGAATAGAAGTGGGAAACTAGCAGTGTTTACAGAGCCATGTGTTCCTTGTACACCCAAGTGCTGACTGCTAAAAATGGATAATTTAGGCTTTAAATGGACAGAGGGCCTTCTTAAATGTCTGAGAAGCTCTCCAAACCAGCTGATCTACCCCAGAGACTGGGCAACTCAGAGCAGGACATAAGATACGTGCCTTCAGTGAATGCACAGAATAAGGCTTTTTCATTTTTCTTCTTCCCTACAGCATTTTATTCAAGCTAATGTCTAATTAGAACTAAGAACTTGGTGTGCTTTTTGCTGCTGCTATGACAGTTCCTAAAAGCATTTCATGAACATCAATTGTGTGTGGTAGTTTTGCACTAAGCTCCCCAGCTACTGAAGGAGAAGGGAGGGACAACAAGAGCTCTGTTTTATTATTGCACAGTACAGATAATGATACACTAACCATATCAAAAGGAGCTTTGTAATTATTGGCTGGGGAGCTCTTGTGGTTATTTTACATTTAACCCACATACCAATTTGGTGTCTGCTGGCACATGGTGGCCATATGGAAGGCAAGAAACCATTACTGCCTACCACGGAAGAACATAATCTGGAGAGTGGAGGCATTTTCATGTGTTGAACAAAGTTCCACCCACACCATAAACTGGTCATTCTGCCACATCATAAGCTGCAGAAAAAAATCACATAAATCTTCACAGGCACTCTACAGGACTTCAGTCAGAGACTCTATCTTTTGCGCAGCCCATGAATGTACTGTTGATGCTTTAAAATAACAAGTAATAGCTGTCTATCTGCTACTAGTACATCTTGTCATGCAATACTGCTATATATATTGTTGGAGCAGTGTTGAAAGGCACACAAAGTATTTCCCTGCTACGAAAAATGTTACTGAGACAAATTATTGCCTGATGAAGAAAATTTATGCAAGATGGGAATCCATAGGGTTATTTGTAATTGCACCTTTTTATCTATTGACTTTCAGGGACCAAGGTTTAAAAATGTCTGAAGAAGTTACATATATAGATACATATGTATACATATATATATAGGCAACTTTGTGTTAATTATTCTATATTAGCAAACACAAAAATATTTCTGTGGACATAACACACTTGTCTGTCCACCTACATAAGTGTGTTTGCATTTCTGTATGTATGTATGTATGTATGCTCCTCTGCCTGTGTGTTGGGAAGGGGTGCTGCAGAACTTGTATCCACATCCTACATGCCTACTAACATTTTGGGCAAGTTTTATGATTGCTTTTCTGAGTGAAGACTGAAAAGGAGACAAAAAACCTGATTTGAAACAAAAGTCTCAGCTGTCTCGCTGGTCTTGTACTACATTATAGCATAAATGGTGGTAAGGGAACTTAAACATATGGGAGAGGAGGGGATTTTGTTTGCATTGCCTAAACAAATATTTTTTAATAGTATAAAAATAGGTGGAACAGGAAGATAGGCAGGACCAATGCAGAAGAAAAGCATATTTGTGCCCAATTCACTGGAGAGATTGTTAAAGAACATTTTATCATAATGAAAATATTACCCTTGGAATGACAGCGAGATCAATGTCAGTTTAAGTTGCCTGTCTTTTTTACTTCTAGCCACCAAACTCAGACTCGTCCTAGAGTTATTGTGACCAGCTGATTTTTATTTCAGAAAATGTTCTCTTTCATTCACGAATCAATAGTTCTTTGCTAGTCCTGGCTTTGCTCCTTGCTCTTCTCCGTCAGCCCTTGCTAAGGGCTGTTGCTAAGGGCCAGAGGAAGTGTCCTGTTGCATTCAGCTGAGAAATCAGGGAGGAAAAGACCATTTCTGTGAGGTGCAAATGAAGCACTGCTGTCCTGCAACATAGGAAATACGATTCTGGCTGGAACAAGCTGCTTGTGATTAGGACTCCCTGGTGTTTCAGAATTTTGACAGGCTATTCCTCAACTTGCAAAATTAGGAGAGTGCCATGGTGGGATCTAGAGAGCAACACTTAGCTTACAGTACAGGTAATCGGTTTCAAAAGGAAACTTTTACAAAGGTTTCCTCCTTTGCTTGATGAAGTTCACAGAAATCTTCCTGTGGATTTCAATGACAAGGACAAAAATTCGTTTAATCAGACAACTTCTAATACCTTTACTTGACAGCAGATGAGTGAGGCATATATAAATTTACTAAACATTTTATAGACAAGAAACTGATAAATCTAGTGAAATTCTCCATTTAATGACAGGGAATTCAGCTGGCAGAAACAGAAACCTTCAGTCCAGTGGAATATACCTTATTTACTTTCTGATGTATTTAGTTTAAAATATACTGTTCAGTTTATTGAATCGGATTATTGATTTTAATACATTTCACGGTGTGTTGTACAGCTAGCTTTGACAAAATCATATATTTTTCCAAAAAGGCATGCTTTAATTGTGGTTTACTATGCCTAGTAAGTCCGGTGCAGCAATTGCACCCCTCTTTCAATGACTATTAACTGATCACTGCAGCAATTAGTGTTTTTACTGAAGAGCTACTTATCCTCCAGCCAGAAGTACAGTTCTTTGGAAAGCTGCATGCAGGGGAACCTGTGTTATCCAGGTTTCTCAGGCATATGAGCTTGGAATTTAACAGCCTGCTCTAGCAAGGTCATGCGTGCATTGATAAAGAACCACAGCCAGGGTTATAGGATCAACATAAATAAGAATACGTAATCCAGTCGTGTCAGGCAATCCCATTTGGTTGCATCTGCGCTATCCCATCCAAAGGCTGAACATTCTGTGTGTGTGCCTACTGCCTGTAGGTGACTGTGCTAATGAGCCTGTCTTTTCTCCTCTGAACAGTCTGTGCTGGAGTTGGAGTATATTTCCTGTGGTTCATCAGAAGAACTGGCAAGCAAACAAGGCTTATAGATGTGATTCAGACTTGTGAGGATTTCCTGGTAAGATTGTTTTTTCCCTGTACAACCAATTACAAAAGTAATGGTAGATATGAATATCCATTTCCCTTTGTTTCCTTTGCAGTTGCAAAAGTTTGGCATTCACTGATGTTTCCCGGTGGTGCAGAAAGCCAGAGGAGCAGTGGGTTGCCATAAGGATTTGGCCTGAAGATTCTTCCTGTGGAGCTAGCAAATGGTGATTTGAATTGTGTCCTGCAAGATGAAAGCCATAAATCAGACCTGAGCAGAGGTGAAAGTCTAAGTAATTGTTAATGCTCTGAACCTAAGGTGCCAAACTTCATTTCATCTCTTCAATATTTGGACAGGACAAGGATACTTCTTCTTCTTTAGAATAAGGAAACAGTGGAATCTTCTTCAGAAATTCTTCAGAAATTCCCAGGAGGTGCAATGAGTGCACATAGTTCTTACTCTGGTTATTTGTCTTCTTCTCGCATTGCTGCAGCTAGAAGATTGCTAAGTGCCTTTTTAGGACAGGTTTGAATTCAGTGAGACTACTTACGTAAGTAGCTGCTCACCAATTTGAGCAATGTCACCCTCGGTTTCCATTTCTAGGACATATTGGTCAAGAAAGTTGGGTCTGTTACGTCAATAACCTCTTGGCTGCTACATCTCGGCTCCTGTCCTCCAGAGTCTGTTGGCGAGCTTCAGCACAATTCCCATTAAATTTACTACAAACTGATTAAATCATGGCTTGTAGTGGATGGTACAGAATTTGGTTGTTTATTTATCTCTGGCTGATTTTCTAGGATCAGGGATTTCTACTGCCCTAAAGATGAAAGGTTAAATTCCTTCAAGTCTTTGTCCTAGATAACACCATGTCACTCTGCTTGGACTCCACAGAGGATAGTATGCGTATCCCTTTGTAAATGCCATTCCAGTAATTCTCTCTTACATGAATTTTCTGAAGAACAACAAAGCAACGCTTGGTGGGAATTTCCCACAATGTATTTGTTTGTATCCAAAAACGCTGACTTGTTAAAACAGAACCTTTTTGTGGGAAAGTATTTGTTCCAGTAAGAAGGCTTCTCAGATTCAGAACTGAATTTTTTTTTTTTTTGGGGGGGGGAGGGGGAATTCCCTTCTTTTCCTCAAAATAGATGGCTGTTGAGTGCTCAGGAATTCCCTGGAAGATACAGGCAAGACAGGTTCAAATCCCATTGATTCAGCATGTTAGCCTCTTTTTGGGCCAGCTATGCAAAGCGTAACAGCTTCGGACAGGGAAAAAGGGATTAGCCTCATTTGCCTTTTTCAGCATTTCTTCAGGAAGGTCCTAATTCCATTTTAATGCACAACAAAAGGACATTTTTAAATTTCTATTGTTTTCCAAAATACTAATGTTTTGCAGATACTCTTACACTAACCCAGCACTGATCGCCTGGCAGATCCATTCATATCTTCTTACAAATGCAGATGACAGCGTCACTCCATTTGGGATCTATAACTTACGGAGTCCTCCTGAATGTCTGTGGGTTTTTTTACGAGACACCTAGGGTTTGATTTGGCAAATTTCTAAACTAGAAGATGTTATGAGGATTATTACTTAACTAACGGAGCTATTCATACACAATTCCAGAACATTTTATGAATTGATTAAAGTTTTATTCAAGTCAGTAAAAAGATTTCCACTGGACCTGAATAAAAGTTTGTTATATTATGTCCTTGCATCTTGAAGTTTTCATTTGACACTTGATCTTATTTTGTCATTTTCAGATTCTACCAAAATTGTATCAAAAACTTATCTCTGCAATTACAGAAAGAGTTACCAACTTTATCTAATTTTCAGAGAGTCAGTAGGAATTCAGGAAAAATGGATTCTTTTCTGACTTACCACTGGCTTCCTTAGACTATCATTATTTATTAACTTTAGCAATTAATTTTATGATTCTAAGACACAAGGAAATTTAAGCATTAGAAAAGATAACAATTTGATAAAACACTGCATTATGATGCTCATAACCTTAACTTAATGGCAATTTCATAATTAGAGTATTATAATGCAGTTTTAATGCACATTTATTATAATAATGAAGTACAGAATTACACCAACACAAATCATATTTAATCAAGAGCAATCACAAATAATAACCAACTAAGAATTAGAATGATATGCCACTGAGTTCATACATATAATTTTTCTTTTATCAATAAGCAGTGCTACAAACTGTCATAACATAAATTGTTTATATTTGTTTTAAAATGTTCTATAATATTGATTGATGCTTATGACTGCCTTTACTTATTGTGTGAATACCATAAAAGTTCTCCAGCTAATGAGATAATTAATTTTCCATCCTGCATAACTCCAGTTTCAAATTAGATTTAAATAGTAATTCTTATAATATCCTGATTGTTTCACAATGGAAACAAAACAAACCAAAAATCAAGCAAACAAAACCCAACACACACAGAAAACAGAAACAAAACTACAAAAAAACAGCCCAATTTACTATATCATTAAGGTGACAGAGGAGGACTCTTGGAAAACAGAGTCTTCTGTTCATACAAGTAAGTTCTATCACTCTGTCATAAAACTGTTCCACCTTTTAAGTTAAAGATAACATTCTGTGTAATATTGCTCATTCTTACTTCACAAAAAGTCACAGATTGGTCCTCTGTACCATGTGCTTTTGCCTATCTTGCATTGTAACCACCTTCTTAATTGGAAGCGTGCTCCCAAAGCAGATGGATTCTTAAAGTAAAATGCAAACCTAATTATTATTCCTTAATCTTCAGCTACAAGTTTTACCTTATAATTAAAACTGGAACAACACTTTTACTACAGTTTATCATACTTACACTGGGAAAAACATTTGAGAATTATATAAAATTATATCATAATTTTATTATAGTTATAATAAATATAGTTATATTTTATATAGGTATATATATTTATATTTTAATATAGTTTACATTTTATGTTACTACAGTACTATTTTTAAAAGCCATACCTAAAATACATTAGGACATACTGCACATCTTGAGGTATGCTTTTAAGAGTGGGCAGTGCATAGGTTCCCAGCAGCTGATATAATACTAAAACAAAAACATCTTCAAAACACTGAAACATAGTAGCATATTGGAAATCAGTGGTCAGTGACTGAAGAAAATCAAGTGACTTTTGAGAAACCCCAGTACCATGCACATCTGTAGGTAGCAGTATTTTACATTTGGAAGCCTTCTGCATGAGTCATGTCCCAAACCTGAGCTGTAACTGAGAGAAGACATTACCACTCCAGTCCTGTGTGCCTCTCCAGCCACCACTGCCAAATTCAAGTCTCCAACGAATAATGCGAATGATGGATGAATAAATACCTTTGCCTTTTTGTCTGAACGTGAGAGCCCCTGTAGCATGTCTAAAAGTGTGTTATCCAGCTCAAATGTGTGTTATCCAGCTCAAATGTGTGTTATCCAGCTCAAATGTGTGTTATCCAGCTCAAATGTGTGTTATCCAGCTCAAAGTATAGTAACATTCACAAACATAATGCTCATTCTTCTGTCCAAAAACTCACTGCTGCAGAGTTTTCAGTAGATGAGAAATAGCCTCTGACAAAAGCAGAAGCTAAAATCGTGAAGATAAAGCCATACCAAGCCTCTCCAGAGCTGTGAATAATAGATTAACTTACACTAATCTTGACTCTGAGCCTGAGAATGCAGTGGTTTCACATGTCATTTCAAGAAGCACTTTTGCTAAATTTTAAGGCATGATGCAACAGTTTAAAAAGCAGATAATGTATCATGGCGAACATTCTGGCTGAAATCCCAGCTCCATTAAAATCAATGGGAGTTTTTACTCTGGTTTTGTGTCATACATTTGTTATTTCTCTCATTCTTTTCACTTATGCTCATTTGATGCTCCTCAATACATGCCGCTGTATTGGAGTTCATTAAAGCACTGCATGTGTCATTGCATAATCAGAACCCAAGTTTGCAATGAACAACAGAAAATGATTTTCTATATGCAGAAACAAAAATGTTTCCTCACAACTGTTTTCTGATAGACATACAATGAATAATGGGAAAAGAGGGGTTATTAAGCTCAAAATAATTTTGATTGTATGTGTGAGGCATGCTTTTTTTGTGTATGTTGCCTGCAGTATGTGACATTCTGATGGCTATAACTCTAAAGTGACTGTGTGCCCTGTTAAACACAAGAACATAAACACCCACATTAAATCTGAAACAGACAGTAAAATCAGAAAACACATTTCCATTTTCTGGCTGACCTCAATCTCTGAACGAGGACCCCTGCATGTTGCATTAGCAGGCTGGGCTCCATTACACTGCTGCACGCTCAGCTCAATCTACTGCAACATCGATTTTTGTTCAGAGCACACACACTGTAAAATCAATATTCCCCTACACAGAGCCGAGCAGCAGCGGCATAGCTGAGGCCAGCTCCGTGGCCTAGCACAGGGGGTGTGTGCTGAGGGAGGGAGCCAGGATACAGGGGGAACTGGAAGATGGAAATAACTGCTACACATGGACACTGCAGCAAAAGGGGATAGGGCTGAAGACTGAGCAGCACAGTGAAGGTGCAGACAGGGAGGGAGGAATATGCTTCATAAACAGAACAGAAAGGCTCAGGAAAGACCTGCCACTGGTTCTGCAGTCAGAACAGCTGAAGAATAGGAGAAAAAATTTAAAGGTAAGAGATTCTTCTGAAAACCCTATGTTTCTTCCTCAAACACTATGTTTCACAGTAGGTGTAAATAAAAATTAAAAATTACATAAACTAAAAAAAAAAATAAAATTCACAGCATTTTTTCCAGTTTATTTCCCTTTCAGATATTGAAATGGCAGCCGTAGGTTTGGATTAACAGGTATTGCTGTGATCCTGCAGGAACCAGATGACCTTTAAGGTCCCTTCCAACCAAAACCACTTTATGATTGTATGACAAGGACCGTGCGAGCACTGGTGTTCCTCTGGGCGGTGATGCCATCATGGGACAAGGCATGTGCCTCCTGCTGTGAACACACAGACAGCTCAGCCAGGTGAATGAATGGTTCCTCTGGGACTACTCAGGTGCACCACATCCAAGAGCATTTTTATGGCCAAGGCCTTCATGACTGCAAACAGAAACCTGGACCAGCTCTTCCAGCCACAGACTTGGTTTGCAGTTTATCGTGAGCCCAGTGAACAGCTAAGCAATAGGTTTAACTTTAACGACTTTAATTTGATGTAAGAGATTAAAAACAACTGCAAGAATTATTCTTAAACCCTTATTTAGCCGGTTTTGCACTGTAACATACTTTGAGATCCACACAGAACTAGCAAAGTCTTCACACCTTGAGCAGAGAGCAGAAAACCCTTTGGGGTCAACAGATCCCCCTCAGTTTTCCTTTCAGGGAGAAGCAGCACACCCTTTTCGGCAAGAGCTATTGCGTTCTCTTCAAAGCCCTCCAAACCCGAAGCGTGCCCCACAAACACCGAGACCTCCTCCTGCTCACACCCCCCCCACAGCCCAGGTGGAAGCCGGGCACCCTGCAGCACTATGGGGAGCGGAGCACCGCGGCAAGCGGCCGCTCCCCGCAGCTCCGAGGCACCACCTCCACCTCTCGTTATACCCAGTTACTCCTCCGCAGGGGCCGCGCCGGGAGCGCACAGGTGGCGCCGGGTACCGGGGGCTCCGCACCTCCGGGCGAGGGCAGGAACCGGCCTGCGAGCCTCCGCCCTCCCCAGCGGAGGCGGTAACGAGGCTCACCCCAGCGCGGCAGGCTGCAGCCACCAGCGCACCGCATCCCGACCGCTGCCCCCTCAGCGCCGCCGCCGCCGCGCAGCAACCACCGGGTCCCCCCGGCGCGGCACTGGCCCCGCCCCTTGTGCGGGCGTGCCGGGCGGCGGGGCGGGGCCGCCTTGCGAGAGAGGCGGCTTGGCGCGGAGCGGCGGCAGCAGCCGTGACCTCCGACCCCGCCCGCCGCCGGCCAATAAGAGCGCGGCTCGTCCCCGAACCCAAAATTTCCACGTCGGCAAAAGTCAAGATGGAGCGGCGCGGTGGGGCGCGCGACCGGCCGCCGCCACGGCCACCGCTGCCTCCGCCGCTGGACC